AAGTGGTGCCTCGATGCGCACCCGGGATCCGAACCCGGGCCACCAGCATCGCAGCGCGCGCACTTAACCACCAAGCCACAGGGCCGGCCCTGGACATACATTTCTAATATCAGACATAAAACAGGAGATATAACCCCAGATGCTCCTGTCATGACAAGAATAACAAGGAAATACTTCCAACAAGTCCACAAATTCAATTAGAAAACTAGATGAAATGGAACCATTCCTCCAGAAGGGCAATCTATCAAAACCCACCCCACCCAATATGAAACAGATACTCTGAATAGCCTTATATTGATTAAATTATATAAATATGTAATAGGCATCCAAAAGAGAAATCTCCAGGCCCAAATGGTTTCACTGGAGATTTCTATCAAACATTTAAAGAAGAAATAACACCAATCCTACAAAATCTCATCCAGGAAACGAAAAAAAAAAAAAAAAGGAGGAAGAACACTTCCTAGTTTATTCTGGGAGGCCAGTATTACTCAGACACCAATATCAGTACAAAAAAATTAAACTATAGACCAATACGCTCATGATTTTAGACATAATAATTCCTCAACAAAATATTGGCAAACGATGGGGCCAGCCCTGTGGCTTAGCGGTTAAGTGCAGGCGCTCCGCCACTGGCGGCCTGGGGTTCGGATCCCGGGCACGCACCGATGCACCGCTTGTCCAGCCATGCTGTGGCCGCGTCCCACATACAGCAACTAGAGGGTGTGCAACTATGACATACAACTATCTGCTGGGGCTTTGGGGAGAAAAAGGGAAAAAAAAACAAAACAAAAAAAAGGGGGAGGATTGGCAATAGATGTTAGCTCAGGGCCAGTCTTCTTCAGCAAAAAGAGGAGGATTGGCATGGATGTTAGCTCAGGGTTGATCTTCCTCACACACACAAAAAATGTTAAAAAAAAAAAATACTGGCAAATGAAATAGTACAACACATACTTATAAAGAATTCTATTTCATGACCTGGTCGGGTTTATTGCAGGGATCCAAGGCTGGTTCAACATTCAAAAACCAGTCAAGGCAATTCATCATATCAACAGGTACAGAAATCACATCAATTGAAGGAGAAAAAACATTTGAAAAATTCAACACCCATTCATAATGAAAGCTCTTAGCAAATTAGGAGGGAAACTTTCCAAACTAGATAAAAAACATCTATATAAAAACCCACAGCTATTATCATATTTAATGGTCAACACTGAATGCTTTCTCCCTAACATTAAGAACACAGCAAGTGTGTCCTCTTAACATTTCTATTCAACGTTGTACTGGAAGTTCTAGCTAGTACAATAAAGACAGGAAAAGGAAATAAAAGGGACACAAATTAGGAAGAAGAAATAAGATGTTTGCTATTTGCTGATAATGTTATTATGAAAAAAATCCTGAGGAATCTACAAAAAAACTGCTAGAATAAGTGAGTTCAGCAAGGTCCTAAGATACAAGGTCAACATACAAAAATTAATTATACTTCTCTTATAACAGTAATGACCAAGTGCAAACTGAAATTAAAAACTCAATACCACATAAAACGACTCTAAAAAAAGGTACCTAAGACAAAAACCTAACAAAATATGTTCAGAATCTATAAGCTGAAAATTATAAAACACTAGTGAAATAAATCAAAGAGGATCTAAACAAGTGGAGAGACATACTTCGTTCATGGACTGGAAGACTGAACATAATGAAGATGCCAAATCTCCAAAATGATCCATGGATTAACGTAACTTCTATCAAAATCCCAGCAAGATGTTTTGTAAATATAGACAAGCACATGATAAAATTTATATGGAAAGCCAATGAAAAAACTGATATGGAAAGCTAAATCAGTTTTTAAAAAAGATAAAGAAGGAGGAATCATTTTACCCAATTTTAAGACAGTGATAGCTACAGTATTCAAGATAGTGTGATATTGGCAGAGGTTTAGAAACACAGATCAAGGGGATAATATAGAGAAACAGACCAACATGAATATGCCCAACTGATTTTTGACTAAGAAGTAAACGCAATTCAATGGAGGTGAGACAGTCTTTTCAACAACTGTGCTGGAACAACTAAAGATCCTTAGGCAAAAACAAAAGCAAGAAACTCAACCTAAACCCCTCATGGCAATACAAAACTTAACTCAACGTGCATTAGAGATTTAAATGTAAAAGGTAAAACTATAAAACATTTAGGAGAAAATATTCCAGACCTAGAGCTTGCTGAAGACTTCTCAGACATGAGAAGGCATGACATGACAAGGATGAAGAGGTGCTGATACAATAACGCTATGGATTAATACAACAAAAATGGCCTGGCCTACAATGGCAATACAGAACTACAAGTGTGGTCATTTGAAAGGCCCTGAGGAGGGTTCAAAGTGAATACAGGATTAGTTTTACATCGTTCTGTAGAGTATATTTCTTAATGTGAGGGAATACTATCACATGTAGCTCAAAAAACTGCCAAAGGAGGAATTCCAAAATACCCTGATAAAAGGTACTACTCACTAGTCATTAAACCAGGACTAAGCCCATGGTGACAACTGTGCAGCTCACACGTATCTGCCCACATATATGCCCACTTTATCTGTTAACATTCTAGCCACTCTACTTGACAGTAAATCTCCACACAATCTTTTATAAGATTAAAAATGATCTGTGTTTGTATTTCTGAGTTTATCGTTATCCTTCAGCTTAATTTAGTTATGTGTTTTGTGCTGGCTCTAATTCCACCCCTAGAAAACTGTTGGAGAAGCCTCTTTAAGGAAGATTGCAGAAGCTCAGAAACCATAGTGAGGGGAGAGTTAGGATTCATCTGGGAAGGCTGCACAGCTACACTGTCATCCTCACCCCACAGAAAAATAAAGAAAAAGAATAAACAAGTAGATCAAGTATGAATGTTGGGTAGTTAAAGACACACGAAGAGGGGCTGGCTTGGTGGCGCAAGCAGTTAAGTGCATGCGCTCCGCTGTGGCGGCCCAGGGTTTGCCGGTTTGGAAACCGGGCGCGCACTGACACACCACTTGTCAAACCATGCTGTGGCGGCGTCCCATATGAAGTGGAGGAAGATGGGCATGGATGTTAGCCCAGGGCCAGTCTTCCTCAGCAAAAAGAGGAGGACTGGCATGGATGTTAGCTCATGGCAGATCTTCCTCACAAAAAGAAAAAAAAAACAAAAAAAAACAAGAAAAATAAAGACATACGAAGAAACAGGTTTTTGAAAAAATCAGTCTTAAGTGTGCAGTAAAATGGGCCCATTCATACATACATCTTTCTCTCCTTAAATATGTTACTTCATAACTCAAGCCTTCATATTTCTCATGAGGACTTAGGCTACTCAAGGGTACAGACAATGCTGTAGAACAAAGGCTTTCAAAAAATGTTTCCAGACCTGACCTCAACTGGCTGACTATCCTGACAATGGACAGCCGTGAACATCTATACAAGACAAATGAAGGGGACAAGGCCCTGTCTCTGAAGCAACACTTCCCTCTCCCCGAATCAACTAAGGGATGACAAATTGCCATAGGCTTATCACAGAAGCCTAAGAGAAGCTGTGCTTGCATTTCTTTCTATTTTCTCTCCTATGTCTCCTCCTTCTTTGTTTAAATATCCCTGAGATAACACTGCAGTGTAAACTAAGGAGAAAGATGTGGCTGAAGGTTTCACTAAGTGCACAGTAAAGATTGGATTACTCTCCTGGATGAATTCTCAGATGTAGACTAAGGTTCTAGGCTGGGTGCATTTCTAACATGACTCTTTAGATGACAACCGATATCCTGCAACAGAAGGTTTTCAGGGAAGAAAACTCTTTGGCATGCATGATCCAATTCTGAGTAAGATGTTTCCTCCGGCAAAAGATTTTCCTCAGTGGTTACATTGAAAAAGTCTTTCCCCAGTAGTTCTTAGAGGCTGACTGAGGATTGCCCACTTGTGAAGGGTCTTCCCACTTCTGTTACACTGACAGGGTTTCTCCCAGAATGAACCCTCTGATGCTGCGTGAGGGATGAGCTGCGACTGAAGGCCTTTCCACACTCACTGCACTCATAGGGCTTCTCTCCAGTGTGGATGACAGAGTGTCGAATGAGGCTTGTGCTCCAGCAGAAGGTCTTCCCGCATTCCATGCATTCATAAGGCTTCTCTCCACTATGAATCCGCTGGTGCCTTGTGAGGCCTGACCTGCGGTTGAAAGCCTTCCCACACTCTATGCACTCAAAGGGCTTCTCTCCAGCATGGATGCTGATGTGTCGAATGAGGTCTTTCCTAGTGCTAAAGCCTTTCCCACATTCTTTGCACTCAAAAGGTTTTTCTCCAATGTGGGCCCTTTTATGCAAGATAAAAGTGTAGCAGTAGGTGAAGGCCTTTCCACATTCGGTGCACACATAAGGCTTCTCTCCAGTGTGGATAATGGCGTGTCGAATGAGGTTTGCCCTCTGGCAAAAGGCCTTGCCACACTCGATGCATTCATAGGGCTTCTCTCCACTGTGAATCCGCTGGTGTCTTGTGAGGTATGACCTGCGGTTGAAGGCCTTCCCACACTCCATGCACTCATAGGGCTTCTCTTCAGTGTGGATGCTGAAGTGTCGAATGAGGTCTGACCGATTGCTAAAGGCTTTCCCACATTCTTTGCACTCATAGGGTTTTTCCCCAGTGTGGACCCTTTTATGCAAGATAAAAGTGGAGCAGTGGGTGAAGGCCTTTCCACATTCAGTGCACTCATAGGGTTTCTCCCCAGTGTGACTCCGCTGGTGCTGCTTGAGGTGTGACCTGCGGTAGAAGGCCTTCCCACATTCAAGGCACTTATATGGCTTCTCTCCAGTGTGGATGACGTAGTGTTGAATGAGGTCTGTGCTGTCGCAAAAGGCCTTCCCACATTCACTGCATTCAAAGGGTCTCACTCCACTATGGATCTGCTGGTGCCACGTGAGGTGTGACCTCCGGTTGAAGGCCTTCCCACACTCCATGCACTCAAAGGGCTTCTCCCCTGTGTGGATGATGTAGTGTCGAAGGAAACCTGTCTTATCTCGAAAGGCTTTCCCACATTCTTTGCACACAAAGGGTTTTTCACCAGTATGGCTTCTGTTATGCAACACTAAATTGGAGCGATGAGTGAAGGCCTTTCCACATTCGCTGCACTTATAAGGCTTCTCTCCAGTGTGAATCCGCTGGTGCCTCGTGAGGTGTGACCTGCGGTTGAAGGCCTTCCCACACTCCATGCACTCATAGGGCCTCTCCCCAGTGTGGATCATTTGGTGCTGGAGAAGGTGTGTGCTCTTGCTAAAAGTTTTCCCACACTCCGAGCACTCATAGGGCTTCACTCCAGTATGAATCTGCTCATGTCGAACAAGGAAGCAGTTCTTGTTAAACACTTTCCCACATTCCTCGCACTTATAGGGATGTTTCCTTTCACGAATCAAACGATCTTTCACTGGTCCACGTGAGTCACGTTCGTAGAGAATATCTCCTAGAGAGACTCGCTCCTGTACAATCCTTGAGTGTAGACCATCATCTGTCCTTTTCCCAGGGAGGATCTCCCCCTGGGGGTCTATCCCTGGTCTGGAGTGGCTTTCCTGAATTTCCGATGGCCCATCCTGATCCTTGCGTTGCCCCACCTGGGAGTCCCCTGGGGCTTGCTGAGTCAGGCATTCCTGGGGTGAGACTTCCTCAAACAAGGCCAGGTGAGAAGGAATAGTCTCTGTGGTCTCAGGTTCTGTGCTGTCACCTGAAGGGAATACAATATAGAAAAGGGCTTAGTAGTGATGGCAACACAGACGAAATGAAATCACAACTGCTGTGTCCTCAAATCCCTGAAAGCTTTAGAGGAGAAATCCAGAGGGAGAGGACGGAAGGGGGACATGAGTGTCTGGAGACAAGGGGCAGGTAGACAGAGTAATGATGACACTGCATGTGGTGAGTTTGCTCAAAGCAAGAACATCTCAAGGTGCTAAAAGAGGCCAGTGAAGGCGCACCTAATGCAACCTAGATGGGAGACAGGAAGAGGTCAGGGAGGCTCCCAGACAGGGTTATGAGCTGAGTCCCACTGGAGAGGTAGAAGTTGCTGCACAGAGACAGTGGGAAGGCCATCTCAGCCTTAGGAAATAGAACAAACAAAGGCACAGTCTCCCAAGCATCAGGGAACTGCAGTGTATCAGGATGGGGCTGGTGAGAGTGGAGCCTCCAAGAGGGGATTAGTGTCCTTCCAAGAAGACACCAAGAGAGCTTGCTTCTTCCCTCTGCCACGTGACAACAGAATGAGACTGCCATCTGCACAGCGGGAAGCAGGCCCTCACCAGACACCAGATCTGCCAGCACCTTGATCTTGGACTTCCAGCCTCTAGAACTGTGAGAAATAAATGTCTGTTTCTTTAAGCCGCCCAGTCTGTGGCATTCTTGTTATAGCAGCCCAGACTGACTAAGACAGCAGGGTATAAGTAATGTTCTCATTCTTGAGTTTGGTGATGTTTAGTGTATTATTTTCAAAAAGAAATGAATGAATAAATAAATAATGTAATTAATATATCAATTAATCAAGGTCATTCAAAAATCAGTGATAACAATGTATCACAAACCAAGGTTTATGATTAATTGAAATCTGTACCTGAGTCCACTAAACAAAAGTTGGAGGTCACATGAGTATCATGGTTAAGATCATGGTCTCTGACCACAAAAACCCTAGGCCCACGCTCCAGAAGAACTCAATATTAGCTTTGCGGCGCCTGGCAACGTACTCAAATTCCATAAGCCTTCATCTTCTCTTCTAAAAAATAAAGCTAAAAAGAGAGCCAGAGTAGGAATGTTGTGAGGATGAGGTAAAACATCGCATATACCACATTCAGGATGGTGCCAGATACCAAGTAAAAAATCCAACACACGTTAGCTTTAATTTTTTGTTATAGGTTAGTCAAATAATATTCATCTGGGACCTAACCAGGAAGCATGTAAAACGAAGGTGTTAAGAATGTGTGGATTAACCTTGGAGAGTATTTAAGAGTAAGAAGAACATGAGATGCCAGATGAGCCAACATTAAAGTGGTGACCAGAGTAAGAAGAGAACAAAGGCCCAGTGAGAACAGGGGCAGAGAACCCAGAAGGCCAATCGCTCAAACACGACACCATCCGAAAAGTCTGCGCCACATCATGAGCTTACACGGCACGGAGGTCAGGAGTGTCAGCTCTGGAGCCAGAACACCTCTGCTCAAACTGTGCCTGAACTATCAGCTGACACTGGACAAACGACTTGGCCGATCCTGTCTCAATTTCCTCATCTGAAAAACTGAGACTCTCAGTTCCTGCCTCACAGGCTGTCAGGAGAGTTAAATGAGAAAATGCCTGTACAGCGCTTGGCACAGTGCTGGACACTGCAGGAGCGTTCAGTACACTGTGGGCCATGACTCATTATTACGGCCGCTGCTGTATTTTAAAATGGGGAGCAAAGCAGCGATGTATAAATAATGAACATTTCAGTGCTGTGGTACAGAGGAACCCCCTCGAAGGCCTGGAATGTGAAAGGGTGCAGTCACTCTGCAGCACTGTTTGGCAGTTTCTACTAAAGCTGAACACATTCCTACTCCATGACCTGACCTGTACACATACCAGAATATATTCCTCCCAGGAACCAGTGCTTACACACACCAAAAAACATAACAAGCAGAATTAGGCTGAAAACAACAGGAATGCCCATCAAGAGGGGAACAGATAAATGAGTGCAGTTTTTCACACAATGAGATGTTACACTGTACCAAGAGTGAACAAACACCAACCGTACGCAACCACTTGAGAAGAACCTCAGAGACATAATGATGGTCAAAAGAAGACAGATATGACAGACAGGATACTGTGGGGTTCAACAGTCAAATCCAATCTATGCTGATATTCTAAATAGGGCTTACCTAGCAGAAGGAGCTATCGAGAGCAGAAGACCCTGATGACGTGTTGGAAATATTCTACATGTTGACCTAGGTGGTGGTTACATGGGTTTATACATATACAAAAATTCATCAGGCTGACCACTTAAGATTTTTCTGCAACACAGCATATGAGTTACACCTCCTTCTAAAAGTAAAAGAAAATAATAGTAAATGGAAGGGATGGAATGCAAGTGTAGATATCTCTTGCAAGAGTGAGACAACTTCTCCAAGAAGATCGATTGTACAGGGAAAGTACAGTCAATGCCAGTGTGAAGTCATTAGAGAGACGTAAGCGTTTTTTATTTACTTTCCTCAAGTGTGAGGCAACTAAGTGCATATTTATGTTGGGTAGAGAATGGATCAAGTTACAGAAGAGGCAAAAAAGAAGTGAAAAAGCAAGTTCCCTAAAAAGGTGTGATCTAGATTCTGGTGTAGGAATTGGCCATGGTCCAGGGCAGGGTCTCCTCTGGGAAGGTAAGAAGCTAAGCTACACATGACAGAATGAGATGAATGTGTTAAGGGCTGAGGAATTAGCAACACAAGGACGTAGACTCTGTTTTCACCGTGAAAATATGTGGAGACATCAGTGGCTGGGGGAGGGGTGAAGGTTTGGAACCAGGTTTGAGTGGCTGAGGGAGCTGGTGTGGGAGACAGAGCAGACCAAAGGCACACAGGAGATGTGGGGAGACCAGCTCTGAGTGTGCTGGCATCACCCAGGTAAAAGATGAAAACCTGGACAGAGACTGGGGATGGGTCTCATGTGGGTGGTGGAAGTGATGGAGTCAAGACACTTCCATGTAGGATGGACAGGAGCTGGATTTGTCTGGATGCAGGGGTTGGTGGAGATGGACGTGTGGAGGAGCTGTCTGAGGTTGCATCTAGCCTTCTAACCTGCAGGAGAGGTGGGAGGAGCGGGCAAGATCATTACCTCCCTCTCAGGCATGTTGAGCGAAAGGTCCCTTTTCCACATTCACAGGAGATGTGGGATTGAGGACCAGAGTGAAGGTTTGGAACAGACTCTGAGGGGCTACAGAGAAGATGGACAAAGACAATCATGGGCTGGTTGAGCAGCCCAAGGGACCAATAGAGGGGAGAGAGCATGACTCTGCAGTGGTAGCAATCAACACACATGATGGTCTCAGTGCCCTCAGCAGCCCAGATGTGGGGCAGAGAAGGTCAAATGTCACCTTGAGGTTTTACCAATCAGGAGGGACAGGAAGAGAGGGAACAAGGGAGGGCTTCTGAGATTCTGACTGACGCTCAGAGGAGGGGTGGATGGAGAAGGTGGAACAGGGTGGGATGCACAGTGTAGCTGGAAAGGCCTTGTTTCCTTCAAGTTCAGAAGGAAATGTGAGATACTCTCACTACTCACTAGGACTAATAGCATGATGTGAATAATACTAATAGCTTACTTTTGCTGAGCCACTCACTATGGGTCAGGCCCAGTGCGAAGCAGATTCACGCATAATCGATTACATTCTCAAACAACACAGAATGACACAGAGGCTATTATCACTAGCATTTTCTGGAACAGACTGTGAGTAGCAGACCACACTCACCCAACCCTTTGCTCCTCTCCTTGGACACACAGCTCAGCCTCATTTCCCAGCCCCAGGCACCCAAGTGAGGCCAGATGTCTTGTCAGTGGAATGTGAGGGGAAATAATGTGTGTGGGAGTGAGTGTGACATCTTCTCTTCTCTCCTTTCCCCTCTGCCAGCTGGAGGGTGCCAGGACAACCATAAAGTCTCATGTTGACGACAGAAGGTACCTGGGTCCCCGGATAACTGTATGGTCACAGCTCCCTGCTGACCCACATGTACAGTCGTTGGTGTGAGAAACATACTTTTCAGGGCCGGCCCAGTGGCGCAAGCGGTTAAGTGCGTGCAATCCACTGCGGCGGCCCAGGGTTTGCCGCTTCGGATCCCAGGCGCGCACTGATGCACTGCCTGTTAAGCCATGCTGTGGCAGCGTCCCATGTAAAGTAGAGGAAGATGGGCACAGATGTTAGCCCAGGGCCCGCGTTCTTCAGCAAAAAAAAGAGGAGGATTGGCATCGGATGTTAGCTCAGGGCTGGTCTTCCTCACAAAAAAAAAAAAAAAAAAAACATACTTTTCATACACTGACCCAACGATATTTTGGAACAGCCTGTTAGACCAGCTAGGTTTACCTTGGCTGATCTTATGCACAAAGGCATACTGTGCAAACTCCTCAGGGCCACAAGGCTGCTGTGTGTCACAGACAGTTTTTTTCCGAGCCCAGGCAACTGGAGCCGAGAGCCTGAACCTACCTACATGCCCCACACCTCCCCAGGAACAGGAAAGAGTGTGATGGGGTGGGGAAGGGGAGGCAAAGGGACCCCAGCTTAAATGGCTCCATGGATCCCAAGCCTTCAGAGAGGCCATAATAAGAAAGTCCCCACCAATTCCAGAGCCATGGTCACCCTGCTGTCTGTAAGCTGCTGTGACCCCCACTGGCCAGCTGCTGGCACCCACCTGGGCAGGAGCTTGCGGAGAGGCCTCTCTTCAATGTCCGTAACTCGGGGCTGTGCTCCAACGGGTAGATCAGTTCTGGTTTGGGCAAAGGACAGCCTGTTCACGCAGAAAGAAAGACGACATGGGGATTCTGGTGAGAAGAAAGAAACCTCTCGCTCTAAGTTTGGACTTCAGGATTTGGAGGAGACCTGGGAATGGAGCTGCTCCTATCCATGCAAACAAAATGTTGGGACCTGGAAACCAACTGCAAAAACCCCTCACTGGGCCCCAGAGACTGAAGACATCACTGCTGGCTGTGGAGACAGACAGCACCAGCTCCCTTGGATCTCCATCCTTTGGAATCCCAAAACTGCTCAAACATGTTTCCTGAAGACGCTTTCTTTTTCTTTTTTTTTTTTTTTTTTTTTTTTTGCTGAGGAAGACCGGCCCTGGGCTAACATCCATGCCCATCTTCCTCCACTTTATATGGGATGCCGCCACAGCATGGCTTGCCAAGCGGTGCGTCGGTGCGCGCCCGGGATCCGAACCAGCAAACCCCGGGCCGCCGCAGCAGAGCGCGCACACCTAACCGCTTGCGCCACCGGGCCAGCCCCTCTTTTTCTTTTTTTTTTGTGAGGAAGATCAGCCCTGTGCTAACATCTGTCAATCCTCCTCTTTTTTTTTTTTTTTTTTTTTTTTTTTTTGTGGGGAGATCAGCCCTGTGCTAAAACCCGCCAACCCTCCTTTTTTTTTGCTGAGGAAGACCGGCCCTGGGCTAACATCCATGCCCATCTTCCTCCACTTTATATGGGATGCCGCCACAGCATGGCTTGCCAAGTGGTGCATCAGTGCATGCCTGGGATCTGAAGTGGTGAACCCCAGGCCACTGCAGTGGATCGCGCGCACTCAACCGCTTGCGCCACTGGGCCAGCCCCTGAAGACGCTTTCTAATGAATCCAAGTCAGGGGCCTCCACCTCCCTGCACCTCCACAACACCTGGGTGCCTGGCAGCCACCACAGACCAATTCAAACACAATCTTTGGGGTGAGGCCCAGGCATCAGTTGATTTTAAACACACCCCAGGTGATAGTAGCCCACCTGGTCGGTTAAAAAGCCCTGGTCTCTACCATCTCACAAATGGCATCCCTGATCATTGGTAGTCTGAGGTAGGCAGGTGACCTATGCCAGCCACTCTGAGTAAAGAGAAAGTTTTACTCCAGGAAGGGCTGAATGAGGCGCCTGCAGCTCCTGTCGTCCTGAAGCATCTTGTGACTTCTGTGAGGGAACCAGCCTGAGCATCAGGATCAAGGAGAGGAAGCGAAGAAACAGATAACCGGGTTGGTACCCACCAACCTGTGAGCCAGCACCACCTCTGAACTCCTTATTAGGTGAGATAATCAATTTCCTTCAGGGAGAAGACTGTTTGAGCTGGTCTGTCAGGTAGCCAAACACATATCGACAAATGTAGGGGTAAAGACTCTGTAGAGAAGTCAGTGGCAGAGGTACCAGGACCCACAGAAATCTCATCAGTCATCACTAAGCAAACGTTCACTGATGTCTGTCACGGGGCAGTGGAGAGGTAAATGAGACCTCCCTTCAGCTCTGTGAGGAGTCATGCTCCTACAACCTCAGGACCTTTCCACATGTTGGCCCTTCTACCTGGGATGCTGTTCTCTCCCCATCTTGCTCTGTCTAGCTAACTCTAACTCTTTGGCTCTAAGGTCAAACATCACTTCCTGAGAAGACTTCGCTGAACTGTGGCTCCTGAGTTCAGGTGCTTCATTAATCGGCCATGTTGCCAGGGAATTCTTAATCCTAATAGTAAGCCAAAAACTAATATTTAGGGGACTTCCCAGGTTCGGTTCTGCATGTAGGAGCTTGGAAGTCACCACTCCATCCTAACAACAAACAAAAAGCTGATCAGACTGAAAAATCAACTTTGCAGTGCCAGGATAGGAAACCTGAACTGTAATTAGTGAATTGCTAGAGGCTCAGTGCGAACAACTCTAAGAGTAAAAACCTTCCAGGGGGACACCGTCATGGGGGGGACCTCACAATATTATGAGATTTACCTCCAGGAGCTAGACCAGGTTCATACAGTAAATACAAAAGAAAAATCCCCCTGGGCTTCTGGCAGGGGAAGAAAACAGAACCAACTCTGAAACACACCAGAGCACTCTGTTCTTAACAAGGCCTGCCTTCAGGAGAAGCTGGTTAACCAGAGCCTAAACTGCTGGGGTTTTATCAGAGCCTAACTGACCTGGGGAAGGAAAATAACCCACTCCAGTCAACTCTAGCCATCCTGTCCTACCTAAGTCAGGGAGAAAAATACTGAGAAACTTGTGAGGTTTACAGTCTCAGGGAAATACACAGTCTCAGGGAAAGACTGAGCCCTAATCCTAGGACTACAGAATGCTTCCCCATCTCCCCATACCTCATCATGACATTATTAAAGGTCTATTTACAGCAGTTCCTTTCACCCAGTACATCATGTCCAGCTATCAAGAAAAAATTACAAGCCATACTAAAAGGCAAAAAACACAATTTGAAGAGACGGAACAACCTTCAGAACCAGACATGGCAGGGATGTTGCAACTATCAGACCGGGAATTTAAAACAACTATGATTAATATGCTTGGCGCGCTAATAGATGAAGCACACAGCATGCAAGAACAGAGGGGCAATGTGAGCAGAGAGATGGAAATCCTAACTAAGAACCAAAAAGAAATGCTACAGATCAAAAACACTGAAGAATGTCTTTGATGGGCTTATTTGTAGACTGCACACAGCTGAAGAAAGATATCTCTGAGCTTGAGGATGTTATCAATAGAACCCTCCAAAAAAGAAAAGCAAAGAGAACAAAGACTGAAAAAAACAGAACAGCATATCCAAGGACTGCAGGACAACCACAAAAGGTATAATATACAAGTCATAAAAATAACAGAAGGAGAAACAAGAGAGAACAAAACAGAAAAAATACTTGAAACAACGATGACTGAGAATTTCCCCCAAATTAATGTCAGACACCAAACCACAGATGCAGGAAGTGGAGAGAACACCAAGCAGGATAAACGCCAAAAACACCCCCAAACAACAACAACAAAAATACACCTAGGTATATCATCTTAAAACTACAGAAAGGCCAAGATAAAGAAAAAAAATCCCAAAAGAAGCCAGAGTGAAAAAAACACCTTACCTACAGAGGAACAAAGACAAGAATTATATCTGATTTCTCCTCAGAAATCATACAAGCAAGAAGAGAGTGGAAAGAAATACTTAAATTGTTCAGAGAAAAATCCCAGCAACCTTAAATTCTATACCCTGTGAAATTATCCTTCAAAAGTGAAGGAGAAATAAAGAATTTCTCAGAGAAACAAAAATTGAAGGAATCTGTTGGCAGCAGACCTGCCTTACAAGAAATGTTAAAAGAAGTTCTTTAGAGAGAAATAAAATGATGTATATCAGAAACTTGGGTCTACATAAAGAAAGGAGGAATATTGAAGAAGAAATAAGAGAAGATAAAATAACTTTTACTTGTTTTAACTGATCTAGCAGATAACAGTATGTTCAAAATAATAGCAACAATGTTATTTGACTACGTATGCTTATGTGTATCTTGTGTGTGTGTGTGTATATGCTTAAGTATGCTTATATACAAGTGAAATGAATGACAGCAATGATACAAAGAACAGCAGGGAGGAATGAGGATTATTTTGTTATAACGTCTCACACTACCTGTGTAGTGGTATATAGTGTTATTTGAAAGTGGACTTAGATTAGTTGTAAATGTATATTGCAAACTCTAGAGCAACAACTAAAGAAAGTAAGAAAAAAAACCTATAATCCATACACTAAGAAAGAAATATGAAATACTCAACTGAAACCACAAACGGCAGAAAAAGAATAGAAGACAAAAACAGGAACAAAGAAGGACAACAAATATAAAACAGTAATAAATATGTAGATATTAATCCAACTATATCAATAATCACTTGGAATATCAATGGTCTAAATGCTCCAATTACAAGACAGAGATTGTCAGAGTGGATCAAAAAACAAGACTCAATTACATGTTGTCTATAAGAAACTTACTGGAAATATAAAGACACATACAGATTAAAAGTAAATGGCTGGAGAAAAATATCCCATGCTAATACTAGTCAAAAGAGAGCAGGAGTAGCTATATTAATTTCAGACAGACCAGACTTCAAAGCAAGCAAAATTATCAGGGATAAAAAATGGCATTACAGCATGACAAAGGGGACAATGTGCCAAGAAGACATAAAAATCTTTAATGTGCCTGTGCCTAACAACACAGCATCAAACTAGATGAGGCAAAAACTGATAGAACGACAAGGAGAAATAAATGAATCCACTATCACAGTTGAAGACGGCACTACCCCTCTATCAGAAATGGACAGATACAACAGGCAGAAAATCAGTAATGACATAATTGAACTCAATCACACCATCAATTAACTGGATATAACTGACATTTACAGACTACTTCATCCAACAACAGAATACACATTCTCTAGTGCACCTGGAACATTTACCATATTCTGGGCCATAAAATACACCTTAATAAATTTTAAAAAGAATAGAAATCATATAATGTCTCCTCTCAGACTACAAAATAATAAACTAGAAATCAATAACTGAAAGATAACTGGAAAATCCCCAAATACGTGGAGATTAAATAATAGACTTCTAAATAACACAGGGGTCTAGGAAGCAGTCTCAAGAGAGTAAAAAATAAAAAAGGATTCTGAACTAAATGAAAATGAAAATACAACTTATCAAAATTTGTGGGATGCAGTGAAAGCAGTACTTATAGAGAAATTTATAGCATGGAATGCATATTTTTAAAAGGAAGAAAGATCTAAAGTCAATTATATAAACTTCCACCTTAGGAAATTAGAAAAAGAAGAGCAAATTAAATCAAAAGTAAACAGTACGAAGAAATAAGAATTAGAGCAGAAATCAATGAAATTGAAAAAAAGGAAATCAACAGAGAAAAACAACAAAACCAAAATCTGGTTCTCCGAAAAGATCTAAAATTGATAAGCTTCTAGCCAGGCTAACTAAAAAAAAAAGAAAGAACACAAACCACTAAT